AACTTTCGCCAGGCGTCACGACCCTCTTGGGGGTACTTAACGATTATAGTCTTTTTCGCAGCAGACGGTGCAGCGCGTCAGGGAACTGTATTCGGTGCAGCGCGTGTTGTTGCTTGTCCGCTACAACAACTGGTGAAGGACTGCTTGGCGTCGAATCCAACCCCTGACACGCCCCAGCGTCTGCAGAAAACTATTGTATGTAGACTGACTACAGTGCGTCTCCAATACGTACAGCGTGGAATGTTTTCGATCATTCAAATTTTCAGCGGTGGAACAACCACCACAGAATGCGATCACACCTCTACCAACACCGTACATTACTCCACGATCGCCGAGAAACTCTCAACAACTGCTCACCCGCCAACGACAATCCCGTTCCTTCTCGCAGTTTGGCGCCTATGCGATGCCGTCAGTGCGATACGATCACTTTGATGATGACGTCATTTCTGAATCGAAAAGCCCTCATCTAGGAGAGTGCAATGCAGAACAGCCGCATACATTGCAATTCCCACATGAGACCGCCATTTATTGATCGTTATGGATTTTCATAGCCTAAATTATGGAACACTTTTTGTCTACTGAATTGCTCACAATGGCGCTCGATTGTATCGAGATGGCTGGTTCAGTCATTTTCATTTTCATATCGTGTGCGGCGGTTCGTTTGTACAACACATTGCCGAGAAAACACAGTCCGACGCGCGCCGTCGCGTCGCTTATGCAAGATGACCAGGGACGCGACGTCGTGTTGTCGATCGATTCATTTACGAGTGGGCTCGTTAAACTCAGGTAGGAGATTCCGGAATCAAGGAGGGACTATCAAGTAACATAGGTGAACAGGACGCACAGACGAGCCGCAACGCAACCGCGCGCCATGTGCCGCCGCCTCATCGAAGGCTACTTGCAATATAAGGTACTCTCGAAAAAATGATGAGGCATGCGGCGACTTTCTCTTACGAATACATGTTTTATTGTGAGGTTCATTTTCAGTGTATCAGAATAACACTATTACTATCGGACTTTATTACTTATAATAACTCTATTACTTTCTCAATACTTCCAATCAATAATCCTTGCCGATCGATTGCTTTTCGTTGTCGATTTCTTATTAGTATCCAGGTACTTGCTGGCTTCAACGCCGCCATAATATTCGGGTACATATAACTAACTGGTTCATAAGATTGATAGTTCCCGTTTTATGAATCAAATTTGAATAAATATTTACTGATGTATTGTTTTGCGTTTGAATAATGTAAAAAAATCTGAGAATACATCTTGGGAAAAAAGTACGCTAAAGTCCGATAGATAAGTCTGCCATTAGATAGATCCGCGCGACGTCGCCATCACCGCGCGTGCAAAAACTTCACGGGGCTTCGCAAGCCGAAACCAATTGATTCTCAGAAAGCTTGATTCGGAAACGACATATCTATAAGACGTCACCAGCAGAGGAAAGATCAGAGTTTGGATAGTCGAAGAACTGTAAGAGATCAGGTAGAAGAAGTCTGGTACAAGGAACACTAATGGGAAACTCTATGTGAGGAAAGTTCACAACGAATTGAAAAATAGGTTGGACTTCGCTGAGTTCAAGTGCTACAGTGAGATATAGATGAGCACAAATTAATTCAATACAGGTCTACCTGCTTAGTGAGGGACACTGAAGAAAAACAATCGAAAACAAATGGGATGTGCCACCAAGTAGATTGGGTTCGTACTTTTCGACGCTTTAGACAAGAAAAATGCAAATAAGAATTTCCCATGGAACTCTTAATCCTTTCGTCGGAATCTTTCATAGTTTCTTCCAATACTATTTTGTGTCCTATTTTTTTCTACGGGAACTTTCAACAGGAATGAGGGGTTTCATTTTGCTATTGTTGTTTGCTCTGAACATTCGCTATCTATACTCTCACCGATCCTTGTTTATGATTATCCCTTCCAGAAATTCGTTTTCCAAAGCAAACCTTTTCAAAAATGGCACCTGATTCAACTTGCTTCGTCTCATTTAGTGTTCTCACGCGCAATCGCGCATGTCGCGCGGACTTATACAATGCCGTCGGACTTATCTACTGAACTTTATGGTTCTCAAGATGAGCTTAAGTAAAAACACGTCTTCCATACCCTACTCAGGACTCTGGCCTTTGGTTGTTTACTCGCTGGTCGAGCACAGTAATGCGATAGATGGGCTCAGGACAGCGATTCGACAGACGTGCTCTAAAGCACTGTGGAAGGAAAAGTGTGGGCTGCAATGAACAATCACGTATCAGTTCCGTGTAAGAAAGTTGTACCAGAGGGATATAAATTGGCGAGATCGCTCGAGTTACTTATCTCGATTGCACGTTGATGTACGCCTCTTCGCTCGGTCGAATGTCTCCTCGCCACTTTTTTTCCTGGTTCCTCATCTGAAATTCCAACAAATCTTCGCCTTTAACGAAAAAAGTTCTACTGAGGGCGTTTTCGACAGTTCTGTCTGCTTTTCTGCTTTTAATCCAACAAGTACAATGTTCGGTCGCGATGCCTAGGGTGTTCTCTACAGCTAATTGCGAAATACAACCGATAGAACCCCTGCTGTGGTTCGATGCAGAGCCGATCAAACATTTTGCCCTACTGCCTTTGTATCGAATTCCGCTAGTGAATCTGTATTGTCATGAATAGACGTTAGTTCACAAAGTGCAAAGACTTCAGCGACGGATCACTCTTAACTGTACAGTAACGCTTTTCTTTCAGGAACAGAATGCTCCGAGGGATGTTGTATGAGCACTGAATTAAAGCCGTCAAAATGCTCAAAACTATAGTGTTCATTGGACAATATCACGAAAGCTATTTCAGTGATATAGGTGTGACCTTACCTAAGCACGCCTGGTTGCTCATTGACGTATCATTCTACTGATACCTTACTCGAAACCAACCGTCTAACTTACCATATTCCACAAAGCACTTCAAACTTTTCTCACAGTAAATATTCAATCAGAACAGTACATTAGCTGCACAGCTTTCATGCTAGGTAATGCTTCATCCGTTTTGTGATTTTGAAGAACATTGAAGAGACGAAAGTTCGCTATTTTCCTATTAACAAAGGGCACAATGGAATGCTGTATGAACCAGAAATCGAAGCTGTCAAAAATCCAGAAGAACTCATAATGGAAAATGTTTGCCACAATAGGCGGGTTGTCATAGAATCCATCAGAAGCACCATATTACGAAAATCTCCAAATGCAGTTCAGGAGTGTTCAAAAGTACCAGCAGAAGGGCATTTCATTCTGGTCGGAATCGGCTGATAACAATTCTCTTCCGCATGTTCTTCGCAATGATGCTTCTCAACGCCTTCACTGAAGGTTATGAGGTAGTGTTTGCTGTTCGGAGTCTTCACGTTATGCTGAGTTTGACGTCATAAGACTATTTCAAGGGCTTACGAACCCTGCTGATAAACACCTGCGACTTCTGTAATTGGACCAGTTGAGTAGCATATTTCAGAAATGAAAACTCACCGGAGAGATTCTTGCGACACCTTCGATCTATGAATTTCGCATTGTATTCGAACGGCATTTTACTTAATTGGAAAAAACCTCAATAGACCACAAATTAACAATACGTATGACAGCAAACCTTCGACTTTTCCATGATAGTGATCCTCTGCAATGGTGAATGCTTTAATCTTACGTCCTTTCGAAAGTTTTTGAAAAGCGTGTACTCGATTGCATTTGAATAGCAAGATTCCTGAGTTGTCCTCTTCCGCCTTCCAGGAAGTCTGTGTCACATTTACTGAATACGTCACGAGTGTGTCATCAGAGCTGCTTTTTTCGAGAGATCGAGGTTTCAATCTTACCCATCTCCCCATTCCCTGAGGATTACCAACTGTTGTGCAAGACATACCTTTCGTCTATTGGCAAGTCATTGGTGGGGCTTTATTCAACTCTCTCACAAACCACAGCAAACATCACGAGAGAGGAAAATTTCGTTTCATAAAGGCTCGACTCTCCAGCAGATGTGTAAACAAAAAAATGTGGTATGAAAGTGCAAATGAAAAGAAAAAAGAAGTAGAGAGCGGGAGAGAAAAGAAAGAGAGAGAAAACCTTCATAAAATGCTGGCGAATTGTCCGTTCCAATATGCAGAATTTTCCGTACGCATGTTCACCTCCACTCCCAATAAGCCGAAGGTACGTGCTTGTGGAGGGCAGCACATTACTGGTTTTTTATGAAAAGGTGTAAGGAGATATAGAAGGCGTTGACGATCCGGCTGGCTGCACTCATACTCTCCTTTTTCTAGTTGGAAACGTATCCTTCAGGCTCTCTAAGATGTTCTTTTGCAATTCTCCGGGCTGTTTAGTTCTTCTTTTTGGATGCATCCTTGGGTCTCTTAAAATATTCTCGGCCGATTTTCCGAAGTATTCTGGAATGGCAAGCCGATTTCACCGTGAGTTCCGCAAGCAGTGGAGTCGTTTCGATGGGTTCCGCATGCGCAGAACAGCTTTTTGAGACTACAGTCGCTATTCAACTAAGTTTATGAGATGATGCAATGCATACTTCCAAGCAGGAAGTTTACACTTTTGGGTCGCTTCCACAAGTTAAGCGTTCAAGGGAGCACCTCGCCTTGAGCTCAAGCACAGTGAATTTTCTAGGCAGATTCTGCTACTCCTGTTATCAAAGCAAGTGCGAAAAGCAGTATCATAAGAGTCGGTTCCTGTTAGTCAAAAGCAATTCTTCATGAAAAAATGAAGAGCTCGCTCTGAAGGGCGTTCAGGAGCTCTGTCATGGAAGGGCCACTTACGATACGCGCTAAAAGGGATTGGTGCTAGGTCACAGGCCAGAGTAAGTCAGACTAGCTCCAAGTAGGCCATGACCTATTTCATAACGCAGTGAAATTCTTCTGCAAAAGCGACCGTCAGCAAACTTGTCTCGTTTTCTGATTCATGTAGCTGCTCGAGAATTCAATGCCTAACCATGATACATAGATGCAAATGAACACCGCGGTGAAAATAAGAAGTACGGCAGAGACTGGCCCCTATGAAAGCCCAAGGGATATGCATCCGGATAGGAAGACTATACTAAGAGCTCAACCTGCTGAATTTGAGCCACCAGACCACGTCTATTCACAATGAATGCTGCTTCGTCAACATGACCTTCGATTGTTAAAGTATACGAGGTACAGAATTTTTGCATGTTCATAAAGGCACTTCTGGAACTAGCTGAAATTCCCCTTTCTTCCATCATATGTTAAAACCACCAGTTTTGTTTTATACACCTGCTGGAGAGTCGTTCCTTTATGAAATGAATTCCTGATACCCTCTGATGAGGATGAATGTGGCTTGTGAGAGAAATAAATGGTTGCTAAAGCCTCATCAATGATTTTGCTGATAGACGGGAGGTACATATGTGTTGCACAATAGTTGTGCAAAGAATGGGGGATGGGTAAGGTCAGAACCTCCATCTCATAAAAAAGCCAGATCTGAGCGACACACTCGTGACATACATACTTAGTGATGTAGCACCTACTCTCTCGTAGATGGACCAAAGACGCTTCAGAAGTTTTGCTTTCGATGAATCCCAGATATCCACACGCTTTTTTGAAGCTGTCAGAGGGACCGTATCCAGCCTTTACCGTTACAGAGAAGGTCGTGAAAGGTAGTTGAAGGCTTGCTATCATACATATTGTCATACTGCGGTTTCATTCAGGTTTTTTTAGAGAAGAGCAGTGTCACAATACTATGTCTAGAAAAAAGTACCAACTCATACATTGAAGCTGAAAGTATGTGGCTGTGAAATTTTATTTCTTGAACCATGGTAATTAATTGGTCCAGTTACAGAAGCCACATGTGTTGTGACAGTACAGAGACGCCGCAGAAACCTGCTCTGCTTCTATGCTCTGACACCAACCGAACTTCTTGATCACTTCGCACAGGTATTGATCAGCGCGGTCCGTACAGCCCTTGAAATTGACTCATAACGTCAAACTCAGCATTATAACACTATAATGAAGACTCCGAATGCAAATACTATCTCATAACCTTCTGTGAAGGCGTTGAGAAGCATCATTGCGAAGAGCACGTAAAAGAGCATTGTTATCAGCAGCTGTGACCAGAATGGATGGAGTGCCCACTTCCGCTGGCCCTTTTAACCAGTCTTGAACGTGCGTTTGGAGAATTTCGTAATATGGTGCTTCTGATGGGATTCTATGACAACCTGCCTATTGTGGCAAACATTTGCCAATATTTCGAGTTTCTGGAGTTTTTAACAGCTTTGGTTTCTGACTCGTATAACAGTTCATTGAGACTCTTTGTTAATAGGAAAACAGAAAGCTCTCGCCCCTTCATATCGTGGAAATCACAAAAAGGACTGAAGACGCGCGTTGTCCAGCACTGAAAGCTGTACAGCTAATGTGTGGTTGTGGTTCGTGTGGGTTTGCTGTGAGAATTGTTGGTATCGTTTTGTGAAACATGGTGAATCTGAGACGGGTGGTACCGAACCAGATAGTGTTATAATGCTTTATCAATAAGCAACGCCTTTTTATTCAGGCGAGCCCACATCCAAGGTAATCCTAATCGCATCCATTCTATTCTATGGAAACTCCCAATCACACTCAAATTGTCAAAGACAGTGATAGTTTCTGGTAGCACCATGATACCAAGAAGCTTCGTGCTTTGCGAACCAAGTACGCATCACGATTTTGCCGTTGTTATACCAAACACCGGAATCGCAGACTGACTTCGGCGTTGCTATTTGCACAGTCTCCCGTAAAAGGTAAGGTGCGGGTTCGAGTCCCTGTCCGGCCACATCTTTGCCCATAACCCATCATTATTGTCAATTCTCTCTAGAGATTCTCGAAAATCTGTGTGCTATAACGTGTTTTCCACACAGGGAACATAATCAGTTGTTTCCCCCAATTTCCTCTTTAGTACGACTTACTTTGCCAACTTACTGATAATCTCAAGAGATTGCGCTAACCTTTCCAAAATCTTGCCGCGGAGTTGTAAGGAAGAACTAGCAGGTAATGCTCTCGTGATCAAATATCAACAATAACAAGAAATCCAATTTGAGGCCGAACGCACTCTTCCACTGTGATTTCTACAACGAAGTGTACGCTGCTTCCTCATCCACAGCCTACAGGATAGAAAGATGCTGCTCCTACACTAGGGCACGCCATCGCGTTGTGATAAATTCCGCAAAAAAACGACCCCCCCCTTAATTCCATCCTCAAATACGGACCCCCTACCCACCCTAGAGTTTCCCAGCTTCCGACCACTTTTTCCGGAATTCTCCGAGAAATTTCTAGTTTTTACCCAAAAATTTTGCTGTCGGGCAGGAAGTGGGGGGTATACAACATCAGTGATACGGGAGGAACCGCAAAAATCCAACAACCGGGGAAAGTTTTTTTCCAACGCCGCTTCCTCTCGGAGGCAAACACGTCCCCTCCTCTCCACAACGAGCAACAAGTGCGACCCCCCTCTATATAGCGGCCGTGATACAAGAGAAATCAACTATCAAAAATTTTTTCTCAGACCTATTTCAACCCCCCCCCACTCCCTCACAGTCATCTACGACCTCCCCGTTGTGATTATCACAACGATGGCGTGCCCTGCCCCACACTTCCCGAATACGTTAGCGTATCAGAAGAGTAACTATTTAGGCGCATGCCGAAATCCCCTTTCTTCAAAATGAATTTCAACTTGTATTTCCTACTGGGGAAGTGAGAAAAAAATTGGCCTGTAAACACGAAATGGAATTATGCATAAAATTTATTTGAAAATATTACATATCACATCTCATTACCCGAATGAACTCATAGGTGAAGTTAATTCTACTCTAAATGGGCAATCAGCCAATTGATAGTCGTTAAATCACTGATTAAATCGATGACGAGAAAGATGTAACAACTCAAGAAGCTACACACTATTGCAGATTTTTTTCTACGATGACTCACACAAAAGAAAGTAATTGAATAGGGGCATATACAGCATTTGAGTCCTACCGGGCAGTACAATACACGTATTCGGCAAATTAGCAAAGGCATTCGAATGACTAGAATCGATGAGCACAGAAAGACGAACGACAGCACAAACGACAGCAATTGAGCTACCAAGCAAGCGATCGATTAATCATTCGAAAGAACTTCTGATTTTCAGGCGCGTAGAACCGACGTAGTCGTTGAAGGACGTCTGATCGTACATGCGGATGTTTCCTGCCTTTCGTCTTCCCAAGACAATGAAGACTTCCATCAGGGCGGCGAACACATGGGAATTTTTTGACTGGATCGATGCCGAAATGTTCCGGTTTTACAACTAAAATGATAACTTTTCACTACATATGTGATACATTGATTTGCGTTCAGACTTCGCGTGCGTGAGCGACAAAGCGCTACCCTTGCAGTCGCCCTTCAATGCTACCCAATGATGGTCTTCGTTTACCTAATCCTTTATGGAATTAACCCTTCCCTATTGCACAGAAGTTTCTGCTTTGACCTTTAGCGTTTCTAGAATGGCATTCAAATGCACGATCCCCAACCAACCTCTCACTTTTCAATTCAAGCTCAACAGATTCTTTGCAATCAACCAGATCACACCATAGAGTACTCAAAGCCTCGCCCAGGAGCCACACACACACACACACCACACACAACACACACACACACACACACTCCCACACACACACACTTTCCCAAAGGAAAATTGCTTTTACAAACTCATCCCTCTGCAAAGGAATGAACCAAGGAAGAACACGCTGCCTCACCCTTTCCTATGAATTTTGCTGCGACGGGAACCGGTAAGGGGCATCAGAGATGACCATGGTGCGCTCCGTTGACGAATCGCCCCCTCCCCCCCCCCCTTCCTCCCACCCCTCCTATACCTCGAGAGGCACTGCGATAAGCCTAACCTCGCCCATGCGAGCATCGCGTAGTAATGAGAATGTCTGATCCTGCTCTGCGATGGCTTTCGCTATTATATGAGTCCTTCGAATGAAAGCTATACCTACCTGGTTGCAGACCAAGGAACTTTTCCGTTTGGCTGACCTCCAAGGCTGGCTGTGTGACTAGCCGTTCGCCATCTACAATGTGGATCTGCTCCATTGGAAAGTTGTCCAGCCACCTGAACGTTAGGTGACCGTATCATCAAATGGAGTCAATCTATAGTGTAGCTCGCTGCGGATGGTTGGGCGTGTCAGGCGGGATGAGTTTGGCGCGGTGCCAAACCGTTCTCCACAGTTGTTGAAGCGAACAAATGATATGACTGTATCATATCGTTCGTATTACTCGTTTTCTACCACTTTTTGTCGCATGCGCGCTTCAACAAGAAGGCAGAGAACGGCTTTGACGGCGTCGCACACTCATACTGCCTGACACGCCCAACCGCCCGCAGCGAACTGGAGTTTAAAAATGTTACCTTTTCATGTGTGTTATGATAAAGTCCAATACGAATGGCTCCCCATCCGACATTGACCCCGCCGACTTTCGAGGAACAGTTTGTTTTGAAGCCACGGCGCGCAATCGCCCACAGCCATATCTTCGAACGAAGGCATCGTCCCGAAAGCTTTTCGCTTTGATGACGCCTGCGTGTAATCTGAAGTTCGAAGTTAGGAAATGAAAAGCGTTTTGGATTAGGGCAATTTTGACACTTACCTGAGATCGCTCTCATGACTGGATCCCTTACGACAACTATGATCTTCATCGCAGGATTCAACGCTCGAATTCGCTTCCGCGGCCGTCTTGCTGTGGAAATAGGCTGGACTCTTTTCAATGGTCAGCTGGTTACCAGTTGTCAGCGGCATTTTTTCTCTGAAAAAAACCATTATTCATGATGACTAATACGCATATTCTTGATGCTTTGCCAGGCTGGACAGGAGAAGCTTCTTCTAGTAGAAAGGGTTAAAGAGACATAGAGAGAGAGAAAAGAGAGAGAGAGAGAGAGAGAGGAAAAGGAGAGAAACCAGTCATCCTAGCGCCCAGAAAGAAGGAAAAACTTGGTATTCTAGGTAGGTTTAATCTAAATGTGAACCAAAGTAGGCGCAAAGTGCGGCAGCCAGTCGAGTTTGTGATTGTGCTGTAGAAAATCACCAAGACACAGTTCAAGCTGGGCGTTACTCCATAGTTATCGCTTTGAATCACTGGATGTCGAATATGAAATATCCCCTCTCTCGATCTAGAATGATTCTGTTCCTTTCCTTCCCTTTCTACTGACCCTTCCATCCTGAATAGTGACTGACTGGCCAGGTCTTGGTGCTGATAGCAGTCTGTGCCGCGTAACACAATCGCGCGACCTTTTGTTCTCGCTGTCGGGCGGCACAGTCGCGCTATCTGAAGGCGCCAATGACGTAAACTGTCATCAGGTCGCCAGACATACTGGCGATTGATGAACCGACCCTCGTTGATATCATCGTGCTGACAGTTCCTGACATGGAGCCCGATGGTCAGACTTACTAAAAATGAGGACTCGATGCAGGGTCTTCTTAGTCTAATGGACCCTCGAATGTCAGGCACACACTAAAAACTCTTAGACTGATGCCAGCCCATTGTGCCAGAGTCGTTTCACAAAGCTTGAGCTCAGCTCATGTCTCTGTTCCAATTTCCCTCGACACTTCTCTAAAGCTTCTGAAGCTCGGAGGGAGGCAGATCGTTTAAGAGGGCATTAGAAAAACTCCTCATGCAAAACAGAGCATGCTGTGGTGGAAGCCCCCCATTTGTACGGAGAAATGGGTTCACTGAACTAGGAGTTCTACACCCTTTAGGCTCAGCTAGGACAGAAACCCTCATCTCCATCACAGAAATTCCAATCTGTTCAGTGACCGAAGTCTCTAATATATATATATTAGCTTGCCTTGTCCATCCCCAGCCCCTCAAACCTGCCACCCTCTATTCTTCTGCTTTCGTCGTCTCGCCAGTGGGGAAAATTCTTTCAAAATACGACCTGCCCAAGATTTCCACTTCCTCATTCTCTTCCCCTACCCCTCCCATTTCCCCATCCTACATACCTTTTCCCCTGTTTGCTACTTCCTTTTCACTTGCTGTGGAAAAACTACCTCGAAACGGAAAGGAGGGGAGGGGGGTGGTGGGCGTTAGACGGGAACCGAGAAAGCTGTCAATAATCGAAAACATTTTTCACAAAGGCAGCTACGTCTCCACCTCCCTGCAGCGACCGAATATGGTTTCTCTCGCTGGAGATCCAAACATATCATGGGTCATGTCTGCTAAGTGTACCTAGAG